ATGGATGCAGAAGTTACCCACCTGACCCACAAGCTTTGAGTGCAGAGTGACATGCAGAAGAGTATCCTGACCTGTCAGAGAGACCTCAAGATCAACCAAGAATCTTTGATGAAACAGCTTATTGACCAGCAAGCTGCACTCAATGAGCTTGAGTTTGGTCGACTCCCAATACAGGACTTTTGGCAAGATATTCTTTGATTAATCATCATGGAAGCAGCACAGCAGGATCCAAAATCTTGCAGATGAGAGGGAAGATATGCTGGAAGTCACTTGCCAGGTGTTTCATCTCAGAGGTCAATTGTCCCTTGATCTTGAACTTTGCTTTGGCCCAGAACTATGTTGCCAGATCCATCCCCAGCCATGCTCCACAAATATTCCGCTTCTGCCCCCATCCAATGCAGGGATTTTGTCTACATGGTCTGGTAATACATCAGTTCCTCATGAAGTTGCTCCTCTGACTGCATCAGCTTCTAATGTCCCTCAAGACGTATTGGCGCACAGATATCAAAACCCATTCCTGACTACAAGCTTGCATGTGACTACATTGACTTGGTTGCACCAAATTTAGCAAGATGCAATTGTCTTTGCTGGGTATTCAAGCATCCACTATCCCCTTGCTCCCAATAGCTTGACTTTGTGGCTCTATTGATGTACTCAAGGTTTTTCTCTGCTGCTTCTCAGGGAGCTCAATGTGGACTTGTTCAGGAAAAAGGCTTGCTGGAAGTCAGGGTCGCAGAGCACAGCATATGACAACAAAGATATACAAGTGCTTTGTCAAGGTGCTCCAAATTTGATGCATTGAACTCTGCACATGAGCTGGTGGCATTTGTTGATGACCATGTCACTCCTCAGCCTGGAATGGGTCAATACACACCTTGACTTGGACTCACTTCTCTCCACCCTTATTCATCATCAATCTCTTGTACCTTTGAGGATGAATCTCAACGAGCCCACTACAATTGGATTATCTTGATGAGGAAACACACATGCTTCACCTCATGGAGAATGACCATCCTCTCAGTATGGTTTGCTTGACCACCTTGAGAGAGCTATATTGCATTTCAGGTGGCCAATTTTTGGGAGGCTTTGCTTTATGTGCTTGACTTAGGTGCCTGAACCTGACATGTGCAGTGCTGAACTGCTATGATTGGGATAGTGAGATGTCTCACATAGTCAGCTTTTTCATTGGGTTGCCACTACTCAAAGACCTTACATTGCTCACAGATTCTCCCAATTTTTTTGCCATGATTTTTCCCACTCTAATATCTGTCTGTAACTTCAAGGGTACAGGGTCATTCTGCCATGCATTAGCGTGCAGCCATTTTCTGACAGCTGCATCTCTTCCAGGTGTGCTGCCCCAGCTGGATCATTTGGAACTTGGCTGCATACCCCATGCAGTTGATTTCTTGTCTTGGATCAAGTGGCACAAGGAATCAGGCCTGCAGCCTCTCACTCATTATCACAGAAATCTGGTTGTTTCAACAGAGGATGGCAAGAGGGCTCCTTGGAAAGAGAAGATAGAAGTGCTGGGTGTTGTGTGGGCAGGTGAAAGTGTAAGTGATCCATGGACTATGGAACAGGTTGAATAAGAAAGTTGAGCATTGTTAACGACACCTGTGGTGATTGAAATTGGGCCTTTTATGTTGAAGTATGCTATAGCAAGGAATGTGTTGATGATTTTGAAGGTGTTCTGTGTGTGTGACCATGTAATTAAGCAGCAAGCACAGAAAGAGGAACAGCCTCATCTAATGTGCTGCATGTCAGCCCACATGGGCAACATGAGAAGCACCAAATGATTCAATATCTGGCAGGGGGGGACTGACTTGGAGCAGCTGTACTACAGGCTCTAGTTTATCAACCACAACAGGTTTGCAGTCATGTCCAGTCATATTTCAAACTTGCACAGCATTCACTTCCCCCATGCGATGCACCGCAGCGCACAGTTCCGACCGGAGCCGAGATGCTTCTGCAGCTTGCTGGCAGTCTTGTTACTGTTGTGCTGCGCTCAGTGCGTGACCGCGAGGAGGGCGCAACCGCGCAGCATCGTACTGGTGGGACAGCTCGACCTGTGAGGACAAGTATAAATATGCCGTTGGTGACCGTTGGTGACCACCCCAGACCAGCCCGCCCCTCCCGATAGCTAACCAGCACAAAAGCATACCCCACCCCTTGTATATCCAACCCTAAACATCATAATGCCCTTTCTAAATGCGCCCCTTCCCACAGTTCCCTTTGGCAACGTATCGAGCCTGCCAACATACGACCAGGGGATGTACAATCGTGCACCTGCTCAGTCTCACCCAATGACGATGTACCCACTCCCGTACGTTCCTACCCTCCTCACCGGTTCCAACCCCGCTCAGTCGCTTTCTACAGATCATACCGTGCGGCAGTAAATGCTTTCAATGCACCTTCGTCTGTCCCGGCGCCTCTCCCGCATCGCCCCAGCTTCGTCTTCCCTAGTCTCGGCAAAATAGCTGCTAGTGCCGAAGAGCGACGTGCTGCCGAACTTGCTATGCGTGTATTCGAGAGAATCGAGCGAAAAGAGCTGAGAAAGGAGGAGAGGACAGCGAGGAAGACGCAGAGAAAAGAAGAGAGGGCAGAGCGAAGGGCCAGGAGACATCACCGGCTTTGATTCGTCTCAGACTCAACTTGTCGACGTTGTTATTGAAGGGTGATCCCCTTAGAGGTTATATCGTATCAATAGATAACATTGTTGTATTACTATTGCACTGTCTATTCTAATTATTGCAACATCTACCCTCTTGAATTGTTATTGTACAAACCACGGTCTTGCAATTGGCTTGGTAGCACCGCCCCGTTGAATGAGATGTCCAACTCATCGACCGCGGTTGTTGCTGCGACCGCTTTCCACATTGATTGCTTCTCATCGATAGCGTCCAAATGCTCGAGGACTGCGCACGCCCCTCTCGCACGATAAATGTGCTCTCTACGACTAAGGGAGGACTACACTGCGCGACCCATAGGCAAATCTCCCGTTTGGTCGACATGCAACTGTACGAAGACAGCCTGGCTAAGCCTCTTACGGCCCCGCTCACCGGTGCCTCCTCTGTCGCACCTACGTCCTGGGTCCGAGGGGGCCGAAGGATACCCCTATCGTGCTGAGCACCTCTACTCCTGCGGCCTCGAATCTGCACATGGATCGGTCTCATGTGGCCACTGTAGGAAGCCAAGTCCCTCCGTGGGGATTATCCTATTCACGTCTATTTCATGTACTGACCAGCATAACCAGATACGAGGATGTCCCTGCACCCGAAGAGCGTCTGCACTCCTCCAGAACTCGAACGATCCCTCACATCCTCCTCCGTGCCCTCGAGCCCGAGTCCCACCGGCAAACAAGGCGTATTCACAACCTCATCGAGGCGACCCGTGCTGCTCGTGCGGGGGAGTCGAGGTGGTGACTGGTTGATGAGGAAGAGAGAGAGGTGAAACCTGAAGCGACAGCGAGGCCCGGACAGAGTGGTGACCGTCTCTACAACGAACGCAACGTCACTACACATCAACCTGCAAAGCTCAAACGGGGCTACTCTGCGATCTCCGCCCACACGGCCACGAGGCACACAATCATGGCGCTCTGACCACCACACACAACATGTCCACTCCAGATCGTACCGTACACATAGAGAGATCAGGGACGTGAAGAGGAGGGGTTGTGTAGGCTGTGGTGAGTACGGGAAGGGGAGAGAGGAGATGACTGGCAGGCGTGGGTCTTGTACGTAACCAGCTGGCCAATTCCATGTACCATGTCAGCCTTGAAATTATTTGTATCATGATGAATATATAAGAACTAAGTTCTTTCCATGAGAAGGCGGCTCTCCGACAGACATCTCCCGAGTAGACCACTAACTGTGCTTTCACTTTCTGATCTGAGAAAAGATGTCGTTGAAGCAGCTGATATCCCCCGTTTTTGCGTTTTTATTTGTGCATAGTCATGATGCAGATTATCCATCAGTAGAATGGCATGAAAGATCAGGAAGTGAGATGCCTGTTGTTTGCAAAGCATTGAACAATGGATGATGCCTGTCTTCTATGTATATGGATCATAGGTATGATTTGGGAACATGCAATACATCAGCACTAAAGTTCAACATATGATGAAATCAGCAACACCTCTTGGTGCTCTGTCCAGCATCTGAGAAATTTGCACATGCATTTGAGGTGCTCTAATGCAAAGCTGACACCACCCTGGCTCACCTGAGACATCTCAGTGGCTGTGAGACCCAGAACATTAGTGGCTTTCAACAGAGCTGCATGGTAGTTGTGCAGTGCATCTAGCAATAACATGAGCTCTTCCCCAGACAAAACAGTTGATAATATACCTATAGTTTCAAGGCACACCATCAAGTGGAGGCTGAACACAAAGGTTTTGGGTGAAGCTGCAATGTATTGGGGTGACCTGACTGCCAAACAACCACTAATCATCCAAAAGCCTGACATCAGACCTCTTGGTGGTCCTCACATGCTGGCTTCAGGATCTCTCATGGTATCAGTCATGTTGGCCACAGAGAGTAGTGAGGGTGGTATGGGAAGAGGGTCAATAATCCTGATACATCAACAATTGACCATGCTCAGCATGTCACACAAGTCAGTATGGGAGAATTGGAAATGGTAGTAGGGGGGGTGCTGTAGTAAACCAGTATCAAGGCTGAACCACAAGGTGTTGGAAGTCATAGATGACCAATCATGTCAACATTGGACTCAGGCAGGACAAAGCCATGCCTTCGGAAGTTGATGGAGGTATTGCACATGTATCAGTGGGAGGGGATGGGATCTCAATGGTAACCCTTCATTGATTGGGCAGAATCCAGGGGATGTCGGATGGGGAGGGGTCCAGAGTTGCCTGTCACCTAGACTTTGGCAGCATAGTGCAATGCCAGCAGAATCAGCATGGACATCAGGTAAACAGGGTGAGCCATCAGGAGTGTAGTCAGGGGTTCGGTTGCTCATAGATGAGAACCTTGCCAAAAGAAAGGGTGTTGGGCTTGCCTCATGAGCTTTTGTAGAGATTGAGCACAGGTCAGACCTCTCAGCTCTAGGAGAGTGGCCTATCAGCAGAGACTTTGGATACATCAGCACCAGTCATCTGGAAGTCAACAGTCTTGGCTGGAGCACCAGCCTTTGGAGGGTACAACGAAGAGTCAGGTGTGTCACCAGGTCATTGAGTACCTTGGTCTTACTACCTGAGGTCAATCAACATGATCATGGAAAGTTCACCTCCTTCAAGGGAGATCAGTGTTTTGGGTCATACTAGATGGTGGGATTCCTGAGAGACCAAGTCTGAGGCTTCTGTGCCCTCAGACTGGTGCCTACATATACATGCCAGAGGAAACAAAAGGAAGCAATAGACTGTGGCTGAGAAACTGTACTTGTCCATCTTACCTCAAGGCAGACCTTGTGACTGACGGTCTCCTGATCATGGGCAAAGTCTCCCAATCTCCACACTAGGGTTCACCCCTACTTCTCAATTGTCAGCCAAAGCCTGGCCAAAACATGCTTCAAGATCCAATCTGATCCTGATCACCTATACTTGAGTCATAGGCACTTTAAGTAAGTAGCCAACATTGCCAAAAGGTGGCTACTTGTCTTCAATCTGTCGAAAGCCTTGCTGAGGCCCATGACCAAGGCCTGTGAAGAGTCGAACATGATTGATTGGCTGGTCCAAAAGGTGTCTGAACCCCAACCCCCTATGCCTTAGGCCCCAAAGTCCTTTGGGTGTTCTAGCAACTTGACAAAGGGGTCAAAACTCTAGTCAACATAACCAACAGTCTTGAGCGAATGTGCAACTTGAGTGTTCAGTCCTTGCAAAAGGTGAACAATCACTGATAGCCTTGCCATCTATCCCAAATGGGGAGAGAGGCCTGTCAGAAGGGGCTTCTCATCTCTGATAGCCTCAAATGAGGGGTTGAATGTGTCGAAACAGTGGCATTCAAGCCGAATCAGAGTTTGCATAGGAGTTTGCAGAGGTCAAACCCTGACATATAGCTGAAGGGGGTGGTCCCTCATACTTGCACCTTTGTTTCCTATATGCACAGGGTTTGGGCAAAAGCACTCTTGATCAGTGCCTCTCTCAGGAGCTCTTCACCTTCCAACACTTCCTCATGCCCCATTTGCCTCATGCTGGTTTTTGCAACCATAATGGCATTATACCAATCCCCCTCTCAAACAGTTGGAATACCGACCTGCACATCCCTTTCAAGGCACTGCCTTCAAAGTCTGTGTCATCCTGTTACCCTGCCTTCAGTTGGTTGAGGGGGTTGCATAGAGCTGTGGGCCTTTTTGTGGCAGGCAGCCCTGGCACTGATTTGAGGTGGGTTATCTTGCATCTACCATGAGGCATCAAGTAATAGGTTCACAGCAGTGAGGACATAATAATGCACATGCTCCAAGGTCTCCTTAATTGTCTCCCTGTCAGGGCACCAGCTCATTGCTTGGTCAAGAGACATGACTAAGCCTTTATGACATGGAAGTAGCTGGTATACCTTGGCATGTGCTGGAACCTGCTGGAAGGATTGGATGGTCAGGTGACCTGCTGTGCATGGCTGTGCATGACCTCATATGACCTCATCCTTGGTCATATCACCTGATC